CGATTTGCTTCTCTCAGTAGATTCGCCAGGAATACGAGGGGATCCCTACACATGAACCATGCGGCAGTAGACAAAATTAAGAAGAAAACCCAGAAATTCAAGACGTGGGTGGGGTCAAACGATGAGCAAGACAGGAGGATGTATGCAAGAGCCAGAAACCAAGCAAAGATAGAGTGTAGGAGGGCTGAAAAGGAGTTCCAGGGGCTGGTTGCAAGCGAGGTCAAGTCAAACCCAAAGGCGTTTTACCGTTATTCAAAGTCGAAATTGAAAACGCGAGTAGGAGTATCAGACCTGAGGCTGGTGGATGGTAGTTACGCAGATTCTGACCAGGATAAAGCTGAGGCATTGAACAGCCTCTTTTCCTCAGTGTTCACAAGAGAGGATGCAACTAACCTTCCTGCGTTTGAGGACAGACGGTTCGACACAGCACTGACCCACATTGTGTTCATAGAAGAGGGTATTAGAAATAATCTGTCCAGGCTAAAGGTCCATAAGAGTCCCGGACCTGACATGTTGCATCCTAGAGTGCTAAGAGAGCTGTGCAACGAGCTTGCAGAGCCCCTGAAGATCCTGTTTTGTAAATGCCTGGATGAACAAATGGTCCCCAGTGAATGGAAAGTGGCTTATGTGAGTCATATCTTCAAGAAGGGCGATCGTCACTCCACGAACAACTATAGACCGGTGAGCCTGACCAGCATAATATGTAAAGTACTTGAGAGTATTATCAGGGATGCCGCAATGGAACATCTAATGCGAAACAACCTTGTAAAAGATTGCCAACACTGTAACGGCCCCTGTCTCATCAACAGAACATATTATATAAATGGGTCAATACATCTAATATTATATTCAGATTCACCACCCTGTAACTTTCCACTGGCTATGAGGTGACATGTTCAATGCACGTGATAAGGTGTGCCCACGGGAAGCTGCGTCATACTATGCTGAGTAAAGGCATAAGTAGCCGGCTCTCTGGCCACCTGAAGCGAGCAGTAGTTTGATATCCTTGACTATAGGAAGACGTTATTTGAGAGCGGCAGTGGATGGCTCCATCTTCCCTCGAGGGGGAACGACGTACCCATACCGTTCTCCCTCGATGGGTCACTACTCATCAGTCACTCAGATCAACTAATATCGAACGGACGTGTTCAACGTTTATATTTACATAAACGCCGTCCTCTTTCTCGTTCACTCATAAATAGTGGAACTTATGGTTGATCTACACTCTGGAATTATAGACATAATCCTTTTATAATAAAACAAAGGAACTTCATTGGGTCTCGTTACTAAAACCCCAATAATTATTTATGTGAACAACCCAGTTAATTGGGGGATTAACAGACGGATTCATATAATGTGGCAGCCAGGTGGTTAGGAATGCGTTGAACTAGTAGACATACCTAGAGTCTGTGTTTTGTGAAAACAGAAAAACAAACAACAGTGACGAGTTACATACCGTTACATAATCCGAGTGTTTAAAACTATATCCTGTATCGAGACGATACTTAGTGAGTGTTCCTCATCTCTGACACCCTCAAGAGATGCAGAATTATTAATATATCATACAGCCACTTTGGTGCACATCCTGTTACTACCGGTGAAGAAACCCAGAAGTCAGCATTCTCCAGTACAGTGTTGCAGATGGTTTCATAGTCTGTACTAACAGTTGACATTTCATAAGTAGCTGGACGGTTGTGTGGTGTCGCAAGCGTCGATTACATAAGTTCCGGTGTCATCAGCCAGTTTTCCATATATATAAGACTGCAAAGGTTTGGCACACGGCAGTCACGGCAGCAGCATAGCAGCAAGAAAACAGAAAAAATCCATCCATCATCAATATCTGTTCAACAGTGGAGGTACTCCCCTATCTTGTAGTGGACTCGCCCATCGTCTTGGTTGCTGTGCGCGTCATCTTTCGTTGCCAAGGGAACCAGCAGGAGGCGCGCGCACTCATCCAAGCTCCGCCCTACTCTACCCAACTCCCCCTCAGATATCACCTGGAAGGATTGCGTTTTCTTTACAGACGCCCTTAACTCCTGTAATAGGTATTTAAAGTGTAAAATACTTTATACACAGTGAAACTCTATAGCTTCTCAAGTGATTGTTACAACTAACAGTCATAACACCATATACACTGTAGTGGACGTACCCCTACAACACAATTGGTAAAGGTAGGGGAATTATGTTCTCCCAATTACTGTGGCATACTGCTTTAGAAGAAGAACATATATATATATATATATATATATATATATATATATATATATATATATATATATATATATATATATATATATATACACCATATACACAATTGGTAAAGGTAGAGGAATTATGTTCTCCCAATTACTGTGGCATACTGGTTTAGAAGAATAATATATATATATACATATATAAAACGTAAATATGCAGTAGCAATCACAGATATTGTTATATGTGTTACATTTACTACACCAAGGAGAGGGATAGGTAGGGTAATTCCCGCCCTCCTCACAGCACTTCTATAGCGGCCTCGTTAATAGCGGCGCTAAGCAAGTTGAAGTGTTGTCAGTGCCGGTGAGAGCGGATAATACCAGATTGGCTCTTGATATAGACACAGGTGCTTGCGCTAATGTATTGGCCTTGACATCCTATCAAGAGTTACAACGTAAATTCCCTCACCGAGACTTCATATGGCGACCTAGTAACGCTGAGCTCGAAGGAGTTTCAGGTACTCAGCTGAGCATTCATGGAATGGTGACGTTACCACTCAGATTTTCAAGACGTGGTTCTCCCTTCTACGCGGACTTTTATGTAGTTCAGCAGTTTAATTTGCCAGCTGACGGTTACTTGGTCTCCCAACCCTTAAAACGAACATGATAGATGTTCATCCACGTAATAATACTATTACGTTTAAAGGTGTTTCCTACAACGCTATGAGCCATTCTGAACCTATGCTCACCGCTAGATCGAAAGTGTTGTCCACCAATCCTATTAAGAGGAAGGCGGATCATGCGTCAGAGCTACCTCATGACCTCAACCCCACACTTTCACAGCGTGATTACAGCAGCACTAGTTGGACGATAGTACCTGCAATTTTGAAGAGTACTCTCCATTACCAGAACGAGGAATTCACCAAAGCAACAATCCTGTGAGTTAAAGTGAACATTAGTTTCTGCAAATTATTCGTTCACTGCCCACGGTGTGACAGGACGTGACTGCAGTTGTTGTGACTACTCATCAATCAACATCCTGTCAACAAAATTTTTTCGTATGGCGTGAACAACCCCCAGTTACCAGCACCCCATCACCCACCCTAGTGATAATGACACATCCAGTCTGAGAGATGGTCTCAGCATTCTGAGGTAAGGTATGGTGAATATCCTAGTGTAACCAAGAGCGGCGGTTTGCTGTACTCAGGATTTTCGTGAACATTGACCCAGTCACCGGGCCTTGGAATCAGCTGTGTCTACTGTGAGCGACACACACCAGTCTACGGGATTGCGGCAACAATTTCACATTATCAAGAAATTCTAGGAAGGATTCTTCAATCAAGCCTACAAGATATAGGTAGTATCTAGGCATACATAGAGTATATATACACACATTAACATGTTCAAAACATGCCATCACATTGATTGGACATCAATAGGTTAATGCCATTGTTGTAAGTGCTTACTTGCTTTTGATATTGGCAGTAATGTTTGTGTTTTACATCAAGTTTCTTTTCTGTTTTCAGTCAGTGTCATCCAAGATAAAAATTGTTCATAACATTTTAACCCAAAAGGCACTAAAGTATAGGTCCCCTATAGTAGCTAATACCCCTACAGTAGCAGAATCCCCAGCTTAGTGTCTACACCTCTGTTTATAACATGGTTAGGGTTGTCTAGGATGTACTGTACTCTGTGAGATTATTTACGCCTCACGGGTCTCGGCTGGTAGGTGACCGAGCGATGTAACGGCCCCTGTCTCATCAACAGACCATATTATATAAATGGGTCAACCATCTGATATTATATTCAGATTCACCACCCTGTAACTTTCCACTGACTATGAGGTGACATATTCAATGCACGTGATAAGGTGTGCCCACGGGAAGCTGCGTCATACTATGCTGAGTAAAGGCATAAGTAGCCGGCTCTCTGGCCACCTGAAGCGAGCAGTAGTTTGATATCCTTGACTAGAGGAAGACGTTATTTGAGAGCCGCAGTGGATGGCTCCATCTTCCCTCGAGGGGGAACGACGTACCCATACCGTTCTCCCTCGATGGGTCACTACTCATCAGTCACTCAGATCAACTAATATCGAACGGACGTGATCAACGTTTATATTTACTTAAACGGCGTCCTCTTTCTCGTTCACTCATAAATAGTGGAACTTACGGTTGATCTACACTCAGGAATTATAGACATAATCCTTTTATAATAAAACAAAGGAACTTCATTGGGTCTCGTTACTAAAACCCCAATATTTAATTTATGTGAACAACCCAGTTAATTGGGGGATTAACCGACGGATTCAACACGGTTTTATGCCAGGGCGCTCCTGCTTAACACAATTGCTCAAGGTATTGGATATTTGGACCCATATTCTGGAACGGGGTGGTAATATCGACAATATTTACCTAAATTTTGCCAAGGCTTTCGACAGTGTACCCCCACGAAAGACTGAAAATCAAGCTGAAAGGGTACGGAATTTGGGGAAATGCCCTAGCATGGATAGAAGACTTTCTACATGACCGCAAGCAGTGTGTGGTGATTAATAGCACGAAATCATCATCTGTACCTGTCACAAGTGGGGTACCACAGGGCAGTGCATTGGGCCCACTTTTGTTTGTTTGTTTCATAAATGACATGCTTGACGTTGTACACTCCTCCATACAAATGTTTGCCGATGACACCAAGTTATTTCGGGAAATTAAGAACCAAGCGGACTGTGAAGAGTTGCAGAAGGACCTCTGTAGGCTCCAGGAATGGTCAAAGAAATGGCTGCTGAGATTCAATGTCACGAAGTGTAAGAGGATGCAACTGGAGGCATTACCCAGCAGGCGTATCTCCAGCGATGAAGAACCTGCAGTTGAGACATGGAAGGACCTAGGGGCAGGCTGGGGCGTGAGGTAATCAGGAAAATAGGGCTTATGTGAAGTGCTTCACATGGGCACCCCATCTGGTCCCGAGATATGCTCCAGGATCAGTTAGGTGTTTCAGGAGTGCCACCAGACTGGGCCTGCACTTCAGCACCTGGGCAGACAGGGTCACAGCTCAAGATTGAAAAAGCCCCCAAGTCCACAAGGCGTGAGGGCAATCTTTTTCAGGTTGAGGGTTGTAAACTCTTGGAACAATCTACCAGAGAGTGTTGTGGCGGCACCGAGAGTGTGAGCTCTTTCAAAGACAAGACTTGACCAACACTGGAGCGGGTTCAGGTACATTCAGGAGCCGGTGAATGCCAGTATTTGCCAACAGTGAGTAACAGAGACGTGACCGATCGCCCAAGCATTTCGCTGGTAGTCAGTGGCGAAGATAGAATTAATGAAATATTAGTTAAAATAAAAAATAAATAAAATCAACAAGCTTGGCTATCCTTAAAGGCATTCTATTACCGCCCCAAAGAAAGTTTGATTTAATTTTTCTGTGTTTCTAAAGGATTGGGTGGGTGTATAAACTCAGTTATTCATAGCAAAATGCAGTGTATATAGAGATAGCACATAAATACTGTACCGACAAATAGCCGAAGTGAACTGAAAAAAAAAGAGAAGAAAAACAGAAGACAACTCTAAAGGCAACAGGGGAGGTTAACACCAGCAGAGGGCAGCTAAGTGCTGTTTTTTTCTCTTTATTTTTAAATAGGTGTAGATCTATACAAAGTCTGCACCCCCCCCCCCCTACAACAACCACCATGAGTATGATATGTGATTACTGCAGGGGGACGTCGGATACAGGCCTGACTAATGCAACGTTTAGAATGATGCAAACTGCCGTAAAGCATGAAGGCTGTTGCTGGTATTGCCCTGACTGCAAAGTCAAGGTGAATGAGGCGATTGCAAGCCATAGGGGAACGAGTTCCCGAGGGACGAAAATAGATGAAGCTGGAGCCTTGCTGGTTGCCATGTCATGATCGTGATAATGGCTAACCTGAAAACCTTAAGGATTCATATTACGCTCAAACGTCCACATAACCTTCCGAGTCCCTCAGTGGAAACGTCCCCCGTTTTCTCTGTTTCCCCGTCTTTGTCTTAAGGGAACTTTGAATATAATCCGCGGATTTCGTAGCAGACGCTGTATGTTGGGACCTGTTGCCATCCAACCCTTTGTAATTAATTTAATTTTGCTTTTGATAGCTGAGTCAGAGCATTGTTAGTGAAGATAATAGTAGGGAATGAAACTGAGTTCATAGTCTCAGTTTCAACGTCAGAGTGTACAGTGGGTTAATTCATCGGAATAGAAGTAGGTGGACTCCCTGGCCTATTTTGAGTGAGGGCGCCGCGGGCATTTCTACCGTTAGTGAGTGCCCGTCCCTTCACCCATACAGGTATGCCATTCCACTGTGTTGTAATTCGCCCTTCTTTAAGTGATTTGACCCAATTAATAGTTGATTGTGCAAGTGTTACAGTAACGTAGTTGATATGCTCTGAGTGAAGTCATATTTACGTCTTTAACGTCCCCTGAAACGTGATGTTGTTGTCACCGTTAGTGAGTGCCCGTCCCTTCATCCATACAGATCCTTAACACAGCCTAGGCCGTGTCTGTAGCGTGGATGTTGTATCCACTATGTCTGGGGAGATGTCCGAGGTCCAGTAGGATCAGTTACCTTCGTGAGACCCGGCCGTCAGACACTTCAGACTACCTATGGCCCCCATAGCTGGCTCGTCTGGCCCTAACGCGAGGCCTGCGAGGTGACCCCGGATCACCAAGCCACACACCACTACCAGCCCCCATCAGTGGTGGATGAATGTCTAACTCCGTAGGGCTATTTGTGTGGTGGGATTAATCCACTGGGATCTCCAGAGTTCGTCGGAAAGTACTCCATGGTGGCTGGACCCCATGGCTGTTGCTTGAGTATCACTCCTGACGACTGAAGGTGGTAGTGGCAGTTGTCCTGGTCTTTATGGTTCTAAGTGACTATAAGAGTTGTGTGTTATTGAGTATGTCCACCCAGTAGGGTTGGAAGTGTTATTGAGTATGTCCAACCAGTAGTGGTGTGAGTATGTTGAGCCTGAGGGCCGAGTACTAGATTTCGTCTGTTGGTACAAATAAATTCTTTCTCCTAATTTCATATTAATGTTTAAATAAATTTTGTATTTGTATATTGTGTCTATTATTTACCTACAGTATTTACCGTTATTTCTTCCCTATTACTTGTTACTATCATTACATCTACCCACGAGCCTCCTCTCGTCACGCTACCAATGGTAATAAGTATGAGAGTAAAAGGAATTGTTACTGGCACACAGAGGCCCTCATAAAAGGTGGCAGCTCAGGCCTTCATAGTCAAACTAGAACAAGTTGGGAAAGAGATCCTTGCTAAGACTGAGGAAGTAGCCGACAGAATGGAGGTGGTTGCTAAGAGGAGTTATGCTGAGGTATTAGCAGGGCCACGGGAGGTGGCGGAGAGTAATGCAGGATCAGAACAGGTTCTACAGCAGCTAGGGACTCTGAAGAAGTGTGTCGAAGAAATTAAAATTAATGGGAACGTTTCCAGCGCAGGAACAATGTAATAGTTTTTGGAGTCCCTGAGAGCCAGGCAGAGGGAACTGAGAGTAAGATAACACACGATAAGATGCAGTTTAAGAATATTTGTACAGAGGTTCTGAAGATGCCATCAACCCCTCAGGATGTGAGGAGGCTGGGACAAAAGCAGGGGGATAAGCCTCGCCCCCTCAGGATCACACTAGTGAGTGAGGAGGAGAAATGGGAGGTTATTCGGCAGGCAAAAACTTAGCAAGGAGCGAGGCATTTCGGAGTGTATTCATTCACCCAGATCGCATGGTAATGCAGAGGGAACAGCACAAGAACTCCTGCAGGGCTTGAAGCAGAGAAGGGAAGAGTCGGGAGGAACGGGGACGGGTGTACATGGGTTATATTCAGGGAAGGGTAGTGGAAGCAAGTGTGCCGACACAGGGCCAGGGGACAGCAGCGCACCCTCCACCGCTCTAACCCCCTACCCGGGAGGTGGCACCAGCTCGCCTATCAGCCGGGAGGAGGCGAGCGCCTTGTAAACAATGACATTTCTAACCACACCCTGCAAAATACACAGTGTACTTAGCAAATGCTGCAGCTTCTGAGAATGGGGGGGGGGGGTTACTACTAAGAGCAGAGACGTTACCGAGAACAAATTCTAGCTTGAATGTCATGTACACTAATACTGAAACATTCCTTGATAAGAGAGAGGAGTTTTAAACACTACTGAAGGCACACCAACCAGATATTGTAGGAGTTGTAGAACTGTTGTACAAGAACAGGAGAATCGACCCAGAGGAATGTGAGTTCAGTATTGCTGGATATGACTCATTTACGATCCTTTCTCAAGAAACTTGCAAGAGGGCTGTGGTTATCTATGCTAGGCAAGACCTTAGAGCCAGCCAGGCGAGGGTACAAGGAGAGGATGTTTTTTGAAGAGTCCAAGTGGTGTAAAATTAAATTAAAGGGGGGGACTTACTTATTGTCGGGTGTATCTACAGATCCCCAAACTGTGGCCCACTAAATCAAAGGAGCTGAAGAGCCTTAATAGACAATGCGGCTATGCTCAACCCCACTTCCTTATCATGGGCGACTTTAACTATGGCGACATCGACTGGAGAAACGAGTCCACCCCGAATGACTTGAATAACCCTGCTACTCTTTTTGTAGAAACTCTGAGAGATAATTTTCTGTTCCAACATGTTAGAGACCCGACACATAACAGAGGGGAGCAAACACCTAAGCCACTAGACCTCATCATAACAAACGAGGAGGGTATAGTGGCCAAACTGGAACACCTTGCCCCAGTTGGCACCAGTCACCGTATAGTGTTGTCATTCAGATTTAACTGTTACCTAGTTCAAGATAAGGCCATTCCAAGGTGCAAATATTACAAGGGAAATTACAACGGGATGAGGGAAGAGATGAGGGGTATCCACTGGCCTGACTCATTAAGGCACAAGAACGCAGACACTACGCTGAATATCATAACTAGTAAAGTGACCCATTTGATCAATAAATCTATACCCAAGACCAAACCCAGTGCCACTAGGAATACGAGGGGATCCCTACACATGAAACATGCGACGGTCGACAAAGTTAAGAAGAAAACAGAAATTCAAGATGTGGGTTGGGACAAACGATGAGCAGGACAGGAGGATGTATTCAGGGGCCAGAAACCAAGCAAAGATAGAGTGTAGAAGGGCTGAAAAGGAGTTCCAGAGGCTGCTTGCAAGCGAGGTCAAACCAAACCCAAAGGCGTTTTACCGCTATTCAAAGTCGAAATTAAAAACGCGAGTAGGAGTATCAGACCTGAGGCTTGAAGATGGTTGTTACGCAGATTCTGACCAAGATACAGCTGAGGCATTGAGCAGCTTCTTTTCCTCGGTGTTCACAAGAGAGGATGCGATTAACCTTCCTGCGTTTGAGGACAGACGGTTCGCCACAGCACTGACCCACATTGTGTTCACAGAAGAGGGTATTAGAAATAAACTGTGAAAGCTAAAGGTCCTTAAGAGTCCCGGCCCTGACATGGTGCATCCTAAAGTGCTAGAAGAGTTGTGCAACGAGCTTGCCGAGCCCCTGAAGATTTTGTTTTGTAAATGCCTGGAAGAACAAAAGGTCCCCAGTGAATGGAAAGTGGCTTATGTGAGTCCTATCTTCAAGAAGGGCGATCGTAACTCCACGAACAACTATAGACCGGTGAGCCTGACCAGCATAATATGTAAAATACTTGAAAGTATTATCAGAGATGATGCCACAACGGAACATCTACTACGAAACAACCTTGTAAAGGATTGCCAACACGGTTTTATGCCGGGGCGCTCCTGCTTAACAGAATTGCTCAAGGTAGTGGATATTTGGACCCATATTCTGGAACAGGGTGGTAATATCGACAATATTTACCTAAATTTTGCCAAGGCTTTCGACTGTGTACCCC